GGGCCAATGCTATTTCAAGTCTAGTGACCCTGGATAAGGAGACCACCTGGTAACAGAGACCACATGTTGAAGGTTCCGTGAGCGGTCTTTTTTGACAGGCTTCACTGCTCTCCCCGTTTAAAATCACTAGTAATTTCGTTGGTCACACATAACTCACGTGCACTGTTTTCCCGCCAACGTACCAACAAATATCACAACCCTTGCAGCTATGCACAGAGAGAGACATTCAGGTAATCTGTACTGCGCTGAGGTGCCAGCTAACCACATCTAGCCAACGCTGCTGCACTTGTAGGTCGATTCTGTTGTATCCCTTTTAGGAGATAAGTTTAAAACCTGAAAAATGTGGGTGAATGAGAACCATGCATTTGAATGGCAACAATACATTTGAATAGAGTCCACCATACCGGCATTTGAATGACAACCATGCATTTGAGAGGGAACTATGCATTTGAATGGGAACCATGCATTTGAATGCGAACCATGCATTTGAATGGGACCATGCATTTGAATGGGAACCATGCATTTGAATGGAGTCCATACATCTGAATGGGAACCATACATTGGAATGGCAAACATACATTTGAATGGGAAACATACATTTGAACAGTGTACACACATTTGAATGGGAACCATACATTTGAATGGCATGCATACATTTGAATGGCATACTTACATTTGAACAGTGTGCATACATTTGAATGAGAACTATACATTTAGATGGTGTCCATACATTTGAATGGTGTGCATACAATCAGATCGGGCCCATATAATGCATACAGAATCAAAATGGCAGCCAAACCTGAAAAATTTGGGCATAGGTCTGTTGCTTTTTTCCCTTTTTGTGTGTATTTTAGGAATTTGAGGTTTCTTAGTTAAAATAATAACATTACATCATTTATGCCCCCAATTATGATCTGATTTTCAAAGACTTTGTGAGTTTAAAAGTTTCCCTCCCCATCGACAGGTGTTCCGTTCCATTTTTCGGGTCAGCAATGAGACAAGGACATGGGTGTGCGGCCAATTGAAGAAACTCTGGAAAGCCAAATTCCATGCAATGGAAAGGATCAAAGATTATAGGCTCAACTCCTGATCCATGCTCATTGCTGATTTATTGGGAATGTTGAAATAATAAGAGGGAAGCTGCTGGCGACTCCATGACGTGGCCTTCATCGACGTTCCAAGCGGCGTGCCGATAACCTGTACATGCGGGCTAATCCATCTACGAATTAGTGAACAGCAATTTTAGTTGTACAATTTTGATGTCACATGTGGAGTGTGCTGCGGCAATGAACACATCTATCTGTGAAAGGCGCATCCCACGGCTGCGTGTATGCCATCACAACAAATCCCAGGCGTGGTCAAATCTCCACCGGCAAGAGCCATGCAAGGAGACTAGGGACATGAGAGGTTGCTGTGGATAAAGGCCTTCTAAGATGCGTACGCTCCCTAGAATGGGTCTCTCAAATAGTATTTAAATGGCTTTCTTTGAGAACTCAGTGGAGGCTTCACACTATTGAGAAGCATGCATTTGGCAAGTGCTAGTAGTTCCCTGTTCACTCGGAATCATGGTATCGGAGTTGAGAGTGTCTATTCTAATTGTTACCCTCCAGTCAGCGTACAGTTTACCCTCATGGGATCCCAGACCTAGTGCTAACCGGGGTACAACGTGCAAGTTCATGCAATTCATTCCCAAGCCCGCACAAATGGGTACCAGAAAAATGCTTTACCTTTTTTTAGAGCTGGGGATGAAGGCAACCTCCAAGCTGCATCCAACCCGGACGATGAGAGAGACAGCTTCTCATCAGTAGTAACAGTGCGACTGACATCTGCAGAGTAGAGAGGTTGACGGTGCCGGCGTCATTGTGACATGCAAGAGGTGATCAGTCATGTGATAGCTGGTGTTGAGAGCATCGGTATTGGCGTGATATGGTCACACAGCTGTTGTGATTCGATAGTCAATGCCGGTAGTAGCAATTTACAGTAGCTATTTAGTATTTGCAGTTTTGGTAGTATCACGTTTGGCTGATGCGGCCAGTAGCAAAGCATCCGGCATAGGTGATAGGGAAGTGGTCAGCATGTATCGCATCAAGGCGGCCGGCATCGATAGCAGCGTTATGGCCGCAAACTGGCATCGGTAGTAGCGAGGTGGCCGGCACCGGTAGTAGCGAGGTGGCCGGCATCGGTAGTAGCGAGGTGGCCGGCATCAGTAGTACTGAGATGGCTTGCATCGGTAGTAGCGAGGTGGCCGACATCAGTAGTATTGAGATGGCTTGCATCGGTAGTAGCGAGGTGGCCGACATCAGTAGTACTGAGATGGCTTGCATCGGTAGTAGTGATTGAAATGATGGTGGTTGTAATGATTTACCTGGGCAGGTATGGAGCAAACAGTAATGATTAGCACCAGGTACACGACAATTATGGTGATCACAGTTTTCAAACAGATAAGAAATTTCTGGCAAGCACAGTAGAAGAGTAAGCGGCATGGTCTGAGATGTGGCCAAGGTATGTACCTCCCGTTGTACATGCAATCATCAGCCACAAACAAGTTGCAAAGCCGTCCAAACATTCACCGGCTACGGACAGGTGCATCAAACTGGTGCACATGTCGTGAATACAAAGGGATAAAGAATGACTGTGCAGCAACAAACAGCTGGAAAATGACTGCAATTGCCATTGATTGCTCCATTTCAGAATTAGCCACACATTCACCGACCCAACACACCTGCCAGTAGCAAGCAACCGCATGTAAACTCTGCTACTCATCAGTAACCTCAACACTCCATGTACAATTGAGCAACATATCCAAACCACACACTCTGGCCATGTCCCTATCACCTACTCTGCAAGTCAGAAATGAATCATTGCTGCATGCAGAAATCAGATTGTGTAACGTACCAAACAAATGGCTTATACTTAGCCATGCTGTGAAGAATCTTGGTCCATTGGCCTTGCAAGTCTAGCGGAGGAAAAATAGACAGCTTCACACAATGGATTAGAAGCATACACCCATGTGACAGCAGCCATCGCCGGCTATGGTCACATGGGCAACTAGCAAGCCAAAACAGCAGAATGCATACCCTACCAATGTCTACATACGTACCACCCAAATATACGTTACCAGGGAGACGGGCATCAGCGAGGCTACCATGGTGTCCGTGGAGTGCTTGAACCTACCTGAGAGGGAATGAATGAGCATGACACAATTGATTGGTTACATACACCCACACAACAGCAGCCTGTGACAGCCACTGTTGTATGGGGATAGTACAAGTAACAGACACGGTTACTAAACAACATGGTGTTGTACAATACACCAGGCATGCAGTACATAACTACATATTTACCAATGGTAGGCCCGGTGACTTGACGCCGTAGCGCTGGTTGGTTGTAGAAGAGATGACCTACAGGGCTCTTACCTTGCCCTGATCTATGCCTAACTACCCTAACTAAGAATGTGGATATATTAGAATTTGAGTGAGAGAAATGCAATAATGTGAAAATATGAGTATAGTGTGGCATGAGGGTCGAATATTGTTTAGTGTTTGTTGTGGTTGATAGTCTGGTCGGCTCCAGCCACCAGTTGCCGCCTCTGCTTGGCTGGTCGCACTAATCATCGGCCGAGTGTGTGCTGCTCCACCTCGCTCCCCGCTGGCCACATTGTGTAGTACTCGCTGAGTGTGTAGTGGTGTACTGATCCCTGAGGTGTGTGTGGGAACAGACATGCAGGCGTGGAAATAGTAAGAATGATGTGGCTGTATAATAATGCTACATGCAACAGTACATTTGAATTCATCCACAAACAAATGAATTCATGAATGATTCATCCAAACGTGATCAGTGAATGTGCAAGATAGGTAATACAGTTCTATTAGGGCAGGAATATGGATACTGCAGACTACTACAGACTATATAGGGCATGTGTTGTGATGGCATACATACAGGAAATACCTTGAATGCTATAAATAGCAAAATCAAAGATCGATAGCCAACATGTTTTGTCGTGACGCTGTTTGGCCTTTTGCCGTACAATCTTGACCAGCGGTCTTCCGCAATACAGGCCAGGAAGGTGTTGAATAGAGGCAACTTGAACCGCACAAGATTTTCGATTTATTCACAGACTTACAGATTCCTTTTCCTGCAACCCCATTTTTGAGGCAAAGTTTGATCGAAGGCAGTCATGGAGTCGCCAGCAGCACCCCACCCCCTTTACCCCTTCGTAATGGTTGAAACCAGGGGAAATGGAACGGAACACCTGTCATTTTGTGGCACCTACATTGCAGCAAGAGTCTTGCCGCAATGAAGTGCCCCCCCCCCCAAAAAAGGTTTTCCAGGAGCAAAATATATCATATGGGGAAGCATGGATGGCAGATGGCAAGCCTGGAGCAAACACACACAGACATGCACACACACACGATGGGGAGACGCAACACACACATAATACTGTGCGCAGTTTGGAGCAAGTAACGATATTCTCAAAGAAATCGTAAAAGGTACCATCACAATAATTGTTATGATTGCCAGTCATGCTCACTCGTTCAAAGCTATGCACGGCAAATCCTTTCTATTGTCTCGTTCTCATACTGGTAGAAACCATGGAAACAACTGCACACACTTCACTGTAGGACTCGTGTAGCTCTTCTTGTTCACATTCCATGGAGGTTTGATAAAATCAGATAAAGGAGCAGGGTTTTTATTGCCGATATGATCCAACCGTAGTTGTCAGTCCAAAACCTAACTTTTTGAAAGTGCTTTCCAGCTTAATAAGCTTGGCTCTAATTGGACAGATTTCCAAAGCTCCAAAGGTCTTAAACTACTGTTGCGGACATTGAAATCCGGTCGGAGGCATGCTGGCCATGCAGCCGTGAGTACGAATACGATCAACACGTGCACTGTGCATGCAACGTTCTGTACGTACTGAGGGCACCGCCGGGCCTCGTGTCGTTCGACCGGATTTCCATGTTCACAGCAGTACGCGGATGATAGAATATACAATAGCCTACAGTTGTGAGTTTTGAAGGAGCCGAAATTGATACTTATCACAACAGGGGAACAGATCCTATTTCCCACTCTCCACAGGTTGTCCCCGACAAACTCGACTGGGCACACACAAGAAACAGTGACACAGAACAACATGGTCCTTTGGGAAACCTATTCGAAGAGCTATAGTGCGGCGCCTTGCCCATTTTTGCTCATTCGCAGTAGTTGCACTTAAAAGCGAAGACATTAGGACACGATTTACGACTCCTGGGTCAAATTGAATGCACTCCACCAATAGCAAAGTACGATGTGGAGGGCTCTAGCTAGGCCTCATGTCGCGTGCATATGTGGTTTTCTGTAACAGGAGTGGGTCCCCATCCAAGAGGGCCCGGACCAGTCACTGTTGGAGGAGGTGTCCCCTTACCGTGAAGGGAAACCACCACAAAGCGTGTACTCATTTATGGAGCCATAAACCTGGATTCAAGTGGATCCAGAAGTCAGCGTTATCATGCCTCCAGTGTTATTGTGGTGCAGCACTTTCAAACCATATTTGTAAGCTGTTACAGTAGTGGCAAAAGTTTCCAGAAGTCACCTTGCCCACAGTTTCAAATTTCCCATTCGGCATCGGTAACCACCGTTTCTCATCAGACAGCTTAGTTATAAATTACGATCAATGTGATCATGTTTACCTGCGAGAAAGAAGGTGGGCAGCAGCCACGTTTTGATGAAGAAGCCTTGGTCCAGTGTACTTCTCAATGAGAACCGTTCCTAACTCGTAGCCTGTGCTTGTCCAGGTTTACTGGTGAACAGACTGACTAGCGGTGGACACTGCCATGGGTGTTCTCCAGTTGCTGGCGCATAGTGGAGAATGCATGTTGCCCGGACATCTGGGTGAGCATTGCTCAGTGGTTGCAAAACACAACAAAACAAAAGCAAACAAGTCGATGTGTAGGGTCTCCTATAGCTGTACTGTATAACCATAGTCTACCACAAGTGAATAGAAGCATGGCATCCATGTGCTCTTGGACTCAGGCAGATACGCAATATTGAATATCCTATCGGGTCTCGACAGTATTGCCCTCGCTGCCTGCATACCGGGGATATCGCCGTAGAATGACTTGTCATGCTCATCCCGGAGAGACGCGTCCTGACGTGACACATCAACGAACTCAATGCTACGTCGTTTACTTGCCATTCTGGCTGCCTAGGATCAATCGATCTAACCTGCAAACAACCTATTCAAGATTGACCCGTCTTTGACTTCACTGCCTTCACGATTGATCGCGGTCGCGTTTTCTTTGAATACCAGTAACTTTGACGTCACATTCTGATGAAAGTTGAAATCAGGTCCCAAGATACCTTTTCAGTCAATGGCTCATATACAGCATGTTAAGGCACCTCCTTCTCCATTTCCCCTTTCAAAACCTGACTTCTCCATAGTTGGTGACCAGTTCAATGGATACCAGCCACAGACCTCAAACTAGACCTCGCCTAAATGAACCAGTTATTTTCAGCAGGGTTCTAGCCAAAGGAGGGTAGCTCACTCCGAGTTGTGGCGGAGGGGTACTAAACTTAATGCTAGGAAATGAACTGGGCTAACATTACTCTGCTGCACATCAGCCAAAACCGGTGTCAAGGTTGCAACGTTTTCTTCAAGAATCAACAAAAGAACGCAATCCTTTGCAAAACCCTACCTTCCATCAATTATTGCTCACCTAAAAGTTGAATTGCTTTCCTGCATTCCCAGGGGGGATAACGAAGAACACTTTTATGTCACCCTTTGGTTGTAAGCGATGTCCGGCGCTTTTCCATAGCAACCCCCACAGGGACTAACCAACGTAACTGTTCTGTAGCAATCCCCACAGGGACTAACCAACGTAACTGTTCTGTAGCAATCACCACAGGGACTAACCAACGTAACTGTTCTGTAGCAATCACCACAGGGACTAACCAACGTAACTGTTCTGTAGCAATCCCCACAGGGACTAACCAACGTAACTGTTCTGTAGCAATCCCCACAGGGACTAACCAACGTAACTGTTCTGTAGCAATCCCCACAGGGACTAACCAACGTAACTGTTCTGTAGCAATCCCCACAGGGACTAACCAACTTAACTGTTCTGTAGCAATCCCCACAGGGACTAACCAACGTAACTGTTCTGTAGCAATCCCCACAGGGACTAACCAACGTAACTGTTCTGTAGCAATCACCACAGGGACTAACCAACGTAACTGTTCTGTAGCAATCCCCACAGGGACTAACCAACGTAACTGTTCTGTAGCAATCACCACAGGGACTAACCAACGTAACTGTTCTGTAGCAATCCCCACAGGGACTAACCAACGTAACTGTTCTGTAGCAATCCCCACAGGGACTAACCAACGTAACTGTTCTGTAGCAATCCCCACAGGGACTAACCAACGTAACTGTTCTGTAGCAATCACCACAGGGACTAACCAACGTAACTGTTCTGTAGCAATCCCCACAGGGACTAACCAACGTAACTGTTCTGTAGCAATCCCCACAGGGACTAACCAACTTAACTGTTCTGTAGCAATCCCCACAGGGACTAACCAACGTAACTGTTCTGTAGCAATCACCACAGGGACTAACCAACGTAACTGTTCTGTAGCAATCCCCACAGGGACTAACCAACGTAACTGTTCTGTAGCAATCCCCACAGGGACTAACCAACGTAACTGTTCTGTAGCAATCCCCACAGGGACTAACCAACGTAACTGTTCTGTAGCAATCCCCACAGGGACTAACCAACGTAACTGTTCTGTAGCAATCACCACAGGGACTAACCAACGTAACTGTTCTGTAGCAATCCCAGTGCTGCCAAATAATTTTCGCCCCAAATCGGACACCCTTCACCGCCAAGGCTGGCCACATGGCGCGAATTTTTCTCCTCGGCAATTTTTTTACAGAGAATTCAAAATATCGCCTAAAACACCATGAAAAATCGCTCCATTGCCATGGTAACCCCAGAGTTGTCATGAATTTTGTAATGATGAGTGTGGTCGCACACTGACTCTGTACAGAGTGCCAGTGTACATGCCATCCAGCCTGATCCAGGCATGTTACATGTTACTTTGCACTTCCCCAGCCATGCGCTAGCCTTTTTAGAAGCAAATGTACAGTGATGTGTGCCTTCAGTTGCACTGAAAAGTGAAAGTACAGGACTTCTGCATAGGAAAGTAATGATCTCCGACATTTTGGCTGCTTTTCGGACGTTTCCCTTTTCGGACCGGTTTTCAGAAGAGCCTTCAAAAATCGGACACTGTCCGAAAAATCGGACGGTTTGGCAGCACTGCAATCCCCACAGGGACTAACCAACGTAACTGTTCTGTAGCAATCCCCACAGGGACTAACCAACGTAACTGTTCTGTAGAAATCCCCACAGGGACTAACCAACGTAACTGTTCTGTAGCAATCCCCACAGGGACTAACCAACGTAACTGTTCTGTAGCAATCCCCACAGGGACTAACCAACGTAACTGTTCTGTAGCAATCCCCACAGGGACTAACCAACGTAACTGTTCTGTAGCAATCCCCACAGGGACTAACCAACGTAACTGTTCTGTAGCAATCACCACAGGGACTAACCAACGTAACTGTTCTGTAGCAATCACCACAGGGACTAACCAACGTAACTGTTCTGTAGCAATCCCCACAGGGACTAACCAACGTAACTGTTCTGTAGCAATCACCACAGGGACTAACCAACGTAACTGTTCTGTAGCAATCCCCACAGGGACTAACCAACGTAACTGTTCTGTAGCAATCACCACAGGGACTAACCAACGTAACTGTTCTGTAGCAATCACCACAGGGACTAACCAACGTAACTGTTCTGTAGCAATCCCCACAGGGACTAACCAACTTAACTGTTCTGTAGCAATCCCCACGGGGACTAACCAACGTAACTGTTCTGTAGCAATCCCCACAAGGACTAACCAACGTAACTGTTCTGTAGCAATCCCCACAGGGACTAACCAACTTAACTGTTCTGTAGCAATCACCACAGGGACTAACCAACGTAACTGTTCTGTAGCAATCCCCACAGGGACTAACCAACGTAACTGTTCTGTAGCAATCACCACAGGGACTAACCAACGTAACTGTTCTGTAGCAATCCCCACAGTGAACCGGTGGTCAAGCTAGCTGCAGGACCGTGCAAGGCACCTGAGTGGCGAACAATGCACACAGAATCCACTCACCTGCGCGTCCAGAGTTATCCCACTTCTCGACATCAAGTTTCAGTTGCCAGCATGACAGCAGCCCATCAACCACGAGATTGATGACAGCCTCTCTTCAGTTAAAAAAAGCGAAACGGAAAAAGGAAAGAGAAAGGCAGCAAATTTGTCACATGAAAATATCAGCAACAACCCACGAATCCATGGAGAAAAATACTGAGAATGGTGAGGTTCTGCTATACATGAAAACGTAGAGAAATCACGTTGCGAGCAGGTGTCTGGGTTAGAGACTACGGTTTCGCGTGTTTTGGGTCAGATTTCTACGCAGAGTTGAGATTCTCTACGCTGTGGCTCCCGCAAAGAAAATGCGTACGCATTTGCTGGGTATCACTTAAATGCAGGCAGAAACCTGCCAAATTTGGAAGGGGAAATTCCCAGTGAACGTAGAGCAGAATTGGTTCCCTTTGCGTTATGAGAACACTCTTCGTGTTCCCAGGATTCTTCTTGTCACATTCCCGTAACGTAGAGCAGAACATCGCTAATGCGAAGAGTCCATAATCCCCCCAAGTGTGCAGCTGGGATGGGGCTGTGGGACGGCGTAATCCATGATGTACGTCATTTTTGGGTAGGACTTGCGTCAGTCCGTCGATGCAGTCCACCACAAACACACTTCCCTTACTCATGATAGTATCACACTATGACGTGCAACACGGATTTTGCCGCCCCAGGTCTGATCAGTGAAGTTGCGCACTCTGGGGGAGTATGGACTCTTGCTAATGTGCATAATGAGGTCTTCACCTAGGTTTATGGCAAGACAAGGAAATTGCAACGGCAACAACGTAAAAATGCCATAAAAGGAAACAGCAACATCGGTGAAGTCACAGTCCAAAAATTGATGGACAACGAATTGCTTACCTGTCGGATGGGCAGAGCAGTGCCAAGAGTACATAACCCCCAAGAGTGTGCAACTCGACTATGGGTGCTGTCCCGACAGAATTTTAAGTTGACGTCATTTTTATGATGCAATGCGCACTGTACATGGATTATCAGACGAATCCGTAACCTGTGGTGGACCAAAGTCCATCTGATGATGTACAAATTATTGCAAAGAAAAACGTGTGATGCGTTGACACCCGTATACATGTTGTAAATCACTGGTGCAAGGAGCATTGCATCATAAATAATGACGTCAATTTGAAATTCTGTCAGGACAACAGGATATGTGGGAGTTGCACACTCTTGGGGGGTTATGTACTCTTGCGGTGCATGTAGAGTTCCAGGATGAAGATTTCCCATTCTTCAAGGCAGGCTCCCGAGTACAAGGCTTGAAGCAACCCTCACTCCAGACTGTCAGTGGGTGATCGTAATCCAGTGGTCTAGCGAACACACCTGGGTACGAGCAGCGAATGGAATGCTGTCAGGTTGAAGACGATTGAGTAGTCTCCTTGAATGTTCCTGGAATCCATCCGTACGTTGCTCAGCAATCACATAGGCACATACACAAGAAATGTGCTCCATTACATCATGACTTGGGAAAGCAGGCATAGGTAAACGTGTGAAGCCAGATGAGAGTGCCAGGAGGGGGGGGGGGGAGGGGTGTTTGACCTCAGATCAGTGGGGTTCTGTTGCTGGTAGCGTAGTGCCAGGAGAATATGCCAGCCCTTTAGTGCTCATGACAGCACAACCATGTCATATTGACGGCTACTCGACTTGGGAAGTGACCTCCATATTATCGGGTATAAAGTCTGACACCCACCAACGGGAGAGTACACGGAACCAAGAAAACCAAACATTATCCACAATTCCCAACACCATTTTGTCTAGGGCAGCCCCTTGCGGTGGGGTAGGAGTGCGAGCGCGACAGTGCTTACGAAGCATTCTTACGCTGCCCTGGGAACATAGTTACATGACGTTGTGGTCAAGCGCCCGCAGGGGGACCGACAACACACACACACATCGGCGACACGAGCACAAATGGCTGCACCCCCCCCCCCC